GGGCGTCGCGGAATGAAGTGAAAGACCTCTGCCCTGTATCACAGGGCGTCGCGCACAAGCCTCACCTTGTCACACCAGGCGATGCGGAACCAGCACACCCTGTACGACCGGGCGTCGCGGAATGAAGCGAAACTTGTTACATCGAGATTTCCGTTTTGACCTCTACCCCGTATCACCGGGCGTCGCGCACAGGCCTCACCTTGTCACACCAGGCGACGCGGAACCAGCACACCCTGTACGACCGGGCGTCGCGCAATGAAGTGAAACTTGACACATCGAGATTCCCGACATGACCTCTACCCTGTAACACCGGGCGACGCGTAGCTGTCTCACCTTGTCACACCAGGCGACGCGGAACCAGCACACCCTGCCTGTACGACCGGGCGTCGCGGAATGAAGCGAAACTTGTTACATCGAGATTTTCGTTTTGACCTCTACCCTGTATCACCGGGCGTCGCGCACAAGCCTCACCTTGTCACACCAGGCGACGCGGAACCAGCACACCCTGTACGACCGGGCGTCGCGGAATGAAGCGAAACTTGTTACATCGAGATTTCCGGCATGACCTCTACCCTGTATCACCGGGCGTCGCGCACAAGCCTCACCTTGTCACGCCAGGCGATGCGGAACCAGCACACGCTGTACGACCGGGCGTCGCGTAATGAAGTGAAACTTGACACATCGAGATTCCCGGCATGACCTCTACCCTGTAACACCGGGCGACGCGTAGCTAGCACACTCTGCGCGATAGAAGTTGCGAAGTAACCTCAACCTTACTACATCGCGTGTTGCAGTCTCACCCTGTAACACCGGGCGACGCGGAACAAACAAACTCTTAAATAGAAATGACGAGAGAAGAAATGTGAGCTGAGATTGAGATTGTCAAGGTTGTGTTTGAAGCCCGCCCAAGTTCCCGTAACAAACTGGCGCGGTTTTGTTTTTTATCCCTCCCCCCAGGTTCCCACGGTTGAAATGGTTGAAACGGTTGAGGGCCAGGATTTTTTTAACCATTTCAACCATTTCAACCATGTTGAAATGGTTGAAATGGATGAAAGTCTTGCCCCTGAGCTCCCGGAGAAGCCCAAAATATTAAAAATGGTTGAAATGGTTGAAACGGTTGAAATGGTTAAAGTTTTTATCCATTTCAACCATTTCAACCATTTTGAAATGGTTGAAATGGTTGAAATGGATGAACTCTTTAACCATTTCATCTACTTCAACCGTTTCAACCATTTCAACCATTTCAAATCCTTTTGCCTTTGTCCGAGGGCCAGGATTTTTTAACCATTTCAACCATATCAACCATTTCGAAATGGTTGAATTGGATGAAATTCTTGCCCCTGAACTCCCGGAGAAGCCCAAAACATTAAAAATGGTTGAAATGGCTGAAACGGTTGAAATGGTTAAAGTTTTTATCCATTTCAACCATTTCAACCGTTTTGAAATGGTTGAAATGGATGAAATGGATGAACTTTTTAACCATTTCATCTATTTCAACCGTTTCAACCATTCAACCATTTCAAATCCTTTTGCCTTTGTCCGAGGGCCAGGATTTTTTAACCATTTCAACCATTTCAACCATTTCGAAATGGTTGAAATGGATGAAATGGATGAAATTCTTGCCCCTGAACTCCCGGAGAAGCCCAAAACATTAAAAATGGTTGAAATGGTTGAAATGGTTGAAACGGTTGAAATGGTTAAAGTTTTTATCCATTTCAACCATTTCAACCGTTTTGAAATGGTTGAAATGGATGAAATGGATGAACTTTTTAACCATTTCATCTATTTCAACCGTTTCAACCATTTCAAATCCTTTTGCCTTTGTCCGAGGGCCAGGATTTTTTAACCATTTCAACCATTTCGAAATGGTTGAAATGGATGAAATGGATGAAATTCTTGCCCGGAGAAGCCCAAAACATTGAAAATGGTTGAAATGGTTGAAATGGTTGAGACGGTTGAAATGGTTAAAGTTTTTATCCATTTCAACCATTTCAACCGTTTTGAAATGGTTGAAATGGATGAAATGGATGAACTTTTTAACCATTTCATCTATTTCAACCGTTTCAACCATTTCAACCATTTCAAATCCTTTTGCCTTTGTCCGAGGGCCAGGATTTTTTAACCATTTCAACCATTTCAACCATTTCGAAATGGTTGAAATGGATGAAATTAGTGAAGTTCTTGCCCCTGAACTCCCGGAGAAGCCCAAAACATTAAAAATGGTTGAAATGGTTGAAAGGGTTGAAACGGTTGAAATGGTTAAAGTTTTCATCCATTTCAACCATTTCAACCATTTCGAAATGGTTGAAATGGATGAACTTTTTAACCATTTCATCTATTTCAACCGTTTCAACCATTTCAACCATTTCAAATCCTTTTGCCTTTGTCGAGGGCCAGGATTTTTTAACCATTTCAACCATTTCAACCATTTCGAAATGGTTGAAATGGATGAAATGGATGAAATTCTTGGCCCTGAACTCCCGCAGAAGCCCAAAACATTAAAAATGGTTGAAATGGTTGAAACGGTTGAAATGGTTAAAGTTTTTATCCATTTCAACCATTTCAACCGTTTTGAAATGGTTGAAATGGATGAACTTTTTAACCATTTCATCTATTTCAACCGTTTCAACCATTTCAACCATTTCAAATCCTTTTGCCTTTGTCCGAGGGCCAGGATTTTTTTAACCATTTCAACCATTTCGAAATGGTTGAAATGGATGAAATGGATAAACTTTTTGCTGCAAATACTAGCACTACTAGTTTTAGCTACTACTGATAACTATGCAAGTCTTACTATTCCCTTCTGGTACTAACCTTCTGGTACTAACACTGCTAATACCGATGCTAGTACTACCCCGAGCGTATACTCACATAGACCCTAAAGGTCTATGCCACATAAGCCCTATAAGTCCTACAAGCCCCAAACCTCATAAACCCTACAAGCCCTATAAGCCCCAAAGCTCATAAACCCTATAAGTCCTACAAGCCCCAAACCTCATAAACCCTACAAGCCCTATAAGCCCCAAATAGCTCATAAACCCTATAAGCCCCAAACCTCATAAACCCTACAAGCCCTATAAGCCCCAAAGCTCATAAACCCTACAAGCCCTATAAGCCCCAAAGCTCATAAACCCTATAAGCCCTATAAGCCCCAAACCTCATAAACCCTACAAGCCCTATAAGCCCCAAAGCTCATAAACCCTATAAGCCCTATAAGCCCCAAACCTCATAAACCCTACAAGCCCTATAAGCCCCAAAGCTCATAAACCCTATAAGCCCTATAAGCCCCAAACCTCATAAACCCTACAAGCCCTATAAGCCCCAAACCTCATAAACCACATAAGCCCTATACGCCCCAAAGCTCATAAACATTATAAGCCCTCTAAGTCTTACAAGCCTCAAACCTCATAAACCCTACAAGCCCTATAAGCCCCAAAGCTCATAAACCCTATAAGCCCTATAAGCCCCAAACATCATAAACCCTACAAGCCCTATAAGCCCTAAACCTCATAAACCCTATAAGCCCCAAACCTCATAAACCCTACAAGCCCTGTAAGCCCCAAAGCTCATAAACCCTATAAGCCCTATAAGCCCCAAACCTCATAAACCCTACAAGCCCTATAAGCCCCAAACCTCATAAACCCTATAAGCCCTATAAGCCCCAAACCTCATAAACCCTACAAGCCCTATAAGCCCCAAAGCTCATAAACCCTGCAAGCCCTATAAGCCCCAAACTCATAAACCCTACAAGCCCTATAAGCCCTAAACCTCATAAGCCCTATAAGCCCCAAACCTCATAAACCCTACAAGCCCTATAAGCCCCAAACCTCATAAACCCTATAAGCCCTATAAGCCCCAAACCTCATAAACCCTACAAGCCCTATAAGCCCCAAAGCTCATAAACCCTATAAGCCCTATAAGCCCCAAACCTCATAAACCCTACAAGCCCTATAAGCCCCAAAGCTCATAAACCCTATAAGCCCTATAAGCCCCAAACCTCATAAACCCTACAAGCCCTATAAGCCCCAAAGCTCATAAACCCTATAAGCCCTATAAGCCCAAACCTCATAAACCCTACAAGCCCTATAAGCCCCAAAGCTCATAAACCCTATAAGCCCCCCCAAACCTCATAAACCCTACAAGCCCTATAAGCCCCAAAGCTCATAAACCCTACAAGCCCTATAAGCCCCAAACCTCATAAACCCTATAAGCCCTATAAGCCCCAAACCTCATAAACCCTACAAGCCCTATAAGCCCCAAAGCTCATAAACCCTACAAGCCCTATCATAGCCCTATAAGCCCCAAAGCTCATAAACCCTATAAGCCCTATAAGCCCCAAACCTCATAAACCCTACAAGCCCTATAAGCCCCAAAGCTCATAAACCCTATAAGCCCTATAAGCCCCAAACCTCATAAACCCTACAAGCCCTATAAGCCCCAAAGCTCATAAACCCTATAAGCCCTATAAGCCGCAAACCTCATAAACCCTACAAGCCCTATAAGCCCTAAACCTCATAAACCCTATAAGCCCCAAACCTCGTAAACCCTACAAGCCCTATAAGCCCCAAAGCTCATAAACCCTATAAGCCCTATAAGCCCCAAACCTCATAAACCCTAAAGTAAAAGCCAGAAAGTTGGAATATGATTATCCTAAGCCCTTTATGGTAAATTATAAGGTATCCTACCCTGAAACCATATTCCAACTTTCTGGAGTTTCCTTTGGGCTTATGCATATGTAGCCTGATGGCTTAACTCCTACACCCAAAGCCCTATAAACCCACTAAGCCCTACAAACCCTAAACCTTATAAACCCTAAAAGTCCTACAAGCCCCAAACCTCATAAACCCTACAAGCCCTATAAGCCCTAAACCTTATAAACCCTATAAGCCCAGTCCTCCGCTATACGCCCCAAACCTCATAAACCCTATAAGCCCTATAAGCCCTAAACCTCACAAACCCAGTCCTCCGCTCCCATTTCCAAACATCCGAAAGCAAGTCGCCAGCGAGCCATCGGCTGCTCCAGAAAGGAGAGAGCCATCCTGGGTTCCGGGTTCACGAACCCTAAACTACCCTAAACCCTAAACCCTTAACCCTAAGCCCTAAACCCTAAACCCTAAACCCTAAACCCTTAACCCTAAACCCTAAACCCTAAACCCTTAGCCCTAAACCCTAAGCAACAATTTTCGGGCTGAAGGGTTTAGGAAATTAAAGTTTAGGGCTGAACTTGTTAAGGTTAAGGGTTCCGGGGTTCAACTTTGATGGGCAACCCTTCCCTGAATCACCTACCCGTTTTAGAGTTTCTTACTATGATTTCCTTATAGAAGTCCTCAAAAAGGTAGACTATTCCGGATTAGGGAAGGGTTTAGGGCTGAAGAGTTTGAGTTTTACAATTTTTTTTGGGTCAAGGTTCGAGGCGTTAAGGGTTTAAGGGTGTTGGGACTCCCGTAAGTTTGGGGGTCTGATGTTAGGAAGTCTACAGCAGCCTGCACATCGAAACTCAAAAGCTACGGTACCATGGCCTTGGGACATGAAGTCCCACAACTGCATATGCCACAAGTCCCTAAGGCTCTAAACCTCACGAAGGCACAGCAGCCACAACCTAAGGACTAGGGTTTGGCGTTTCGCGAACCCCCCACTGGCGCACCCAAGGAAGATGCTGCCAAGCGGCTGCATCAGTCAAGACTATCTGGTTCGTGCCATCTAAGTCGCCACTCATGACGACCTGAAAGAGATGTTGGCTACAGCCCAGAGGTTCAAGGTTGTGGAACGAAGAGGTTCAAGGTTGTGGAACGAAGCTTTGCTGCGGATGTGTGTGCACGAGGTGCGACAACGTCAAGGACCCTCCAGGGACGCCAGTGATGTGCATCTCACGGTGTGCTGAGTCCACGGCAACGAAACCTGTCACCCAGTCCCCAACCGTTCTCAGGCGACCAATATACGACGAGGAAATCACGTTTAATGCCAATCAATGACAGAGCAACAGCAAGCGGGTCTGGCCATTCGGAGTGTTTTGTTCGGGGTTTCGCAGGGCATTCAGCGACTGCAAACCACGAAACCTGAACTCCCAACTGAGAAGTCCTCTCAACCCCAAACAGGAGAAACTGAAACGCCAGAACCTGCCATCAAAGGCCAGGAGGACAAGGTAGTGGAGAAGCCACAAAAAACGGACTTAAGTTTTTCAGTGGTTTCATTATACGATATAGCTACGAGGGATTCATAACTACGTAGCACCCTGCCTTGTTGTGGCGAATGGACGACTCGCCCAAGTAGACCCGGGCATCGATGTCGACAGACGGGAGCCACGTGACATCCGAGAAAAATTGCGGGTAGGACGCGTCGATGTTCCTGTCGGTGGTAGGGCGAAGGTCGTTCGGAGACAACAGTAAACACCGCAGAAACATCGTCCCAGAAAACTTGACGGCTTTTAAATCAGTGATTTTCCTCGCGACTGTCTTAGGACTTAGGATCCGAAATACGTGTAGCGGAAAAGGCTTGGGCTTGTTGCTTCATTGTGGCTTTGGGGTGCTATGGGCTCCCTGCCAAGTCACGTGGGGTTGTACGTGAAGGCTACGGAGGGCTTGCCGCAGTCGCTGCCGGAGAAGTGGCCGAATGTGATGCCATCCCAGTGAGCCTCACATGGGTCAAGGCTCAGAAGAAGGCATGTGTGTGCGTGCGCATTAACAGACTGATCCCATGCATCTGCAGCCAGACATACCGCCACGGGTTGTTTTCCTGTGTGTTAAAGCATACAGCATCTATTGTGCTGGTACGTCGCATAAGCACAAATGTTCAGGTGTTCTTCCTCTCATGGGTTGGGACTTGTAAACATGTCGAAGAACCCTTAACTCAGCAAACAAATATAACTTCAGCCATAAACAAACATCCAAAACCTGTGAAAAACACGCGGCACACTTAAACCCAAACCTTAAACCCTAAACCTTGAACCCCAACCACCCAACTCAAAACTCTAGCGGGATTTGGGGTTTGTAGATTATGTTTTGTTTTGTTTTGGGGTGTGGACTAGAACCGTTTTAGGAAAATGAAGGTCTTGGCTTTACACAAGCCCCTGGAGGGTCCAGAAAGTCGAACTCCCAAACCGATCGCTGATTCCCTGTACTAACAGCGAGTGCCGTTTACGGTTACTTGGAGGTTCATGGGCAGCTATACGTGGGGTTATAAGCCCCCTAATATGGGTGATATCTGATAACTGTAGTTATATACCCCTACTCATACTGTTGATGATATAAATCCTGCATTACCCATAATAAGCAATATACCATAATTCCCATAGTCTAGGGTCATTAAGGTAATGCAGGATTTATATCATCAACCGTATTATATCTACCAATGACTAATGACCCTCCAAGTAAGGACTTAGGAGACCCAGAAGGCCATGACGTGCTCTTGTTGGAGGGTCGGGGGACTTAGTAACTGGTTGTTTCAGGGACTTATAAGTACCATAACCCCAATTAGGGTCCCGTTTAGGGTACTTATAAGTCTACTTACTAACTACTTACTAAGTCCCCCGACCCCCCAAGTTTTGTTATGCCTGCATCCCATGATAGCCCGCGCAAGATAGACAGCCTTCCTCAGGAGCCCTAAGGCAAAAGCCAGAAAGTTGGGATATGATTATCCTAAACCCGTTATGGTAAATTCTAGGGTATCCTACCCTGAAACCATATTCCAACTTTCTGGAGTTCCCTTTATCTCCAAACACACACACACACACCAAAACTCGAATGTCAATGTATAAGCCGCACTTCATGATTCGATTTTTAGACACATGGATCCTTAGAGCTTTAATTATGGTATCTATAGGATTCAGGGCTTTGGATTTAAGGTCCGTAGGGGATGTGCAGGCCTGCTGCAGGGCTTCGCAAGTTTTCGGGTTATTGTAAGGCTGCGCCGGTTGCGCCGTTTCCGAAGGTGTGCGATCATGGGCTCTTGACTGTCTTACTTCGTTACACTTCGGTATAATAAAGTAAAAGCTTTCAGAACAACAAGAGAAGATGTCCGACTTCCCTGAAACAAGAACAGAACCACGCCCTTGGAATTCTTGCAAGGCCAGACGGAATTTCAGTTTTGTGCAGGGAAGTAAGTACACCCAAAAACACTCCTACACCTCAAATTCTGAAACATAAACTCTGCACCCCAAACCTGATACCCTACGTCCTCCACCCTACTTGGAGGGTCGGGGGACTTAGTAACTGGTTATTCTAGGGACTTATAAGTACCATAACCCCAATTAGGGTCCCTTTTAGGGTACTTATAAGTCTACTTACTACCTACTTACTAAGTCCCCCGACCAGCCAAGTAAACCCCAAACCCTACATAAAACACCCTGGGCCCCCTGCCAAGAGGCTCCATAGTACTTCCTTTTTTGGCTTCATGTTTCGAATCCTCTAAGGTACTCCAAAAAAGGGAGCCACTGTGGGGCCTTAGGGCAATGTATACTTTGCCCCCCGGAGTCCCTGATGTACTCTACTTATACGAAGGAACCCCCAAAATAGTAGGGGTAGTTATTAAGGAACTACTACGGAGCCTATGGGTCAGCCCCACATGGGAGTTTCCGAAATATCGTATTTTGGGGTCCTTATTTGACGGATCCTACTATTTAGGGTACTATATTCGGGTCCCCTATTTTCGGAAACCCCCACATCTGTAGCTGCACACACAGCAGCCTCGGAGTAGCGGGAGCCCAGGGTCCCGATGCGGTGCTCCCAGGGCATGACGCACATCTTCACCTTGTAATCATTTCAAATACAAAATTCTTAAACCTAAATATTTTTTACCGAATATCCTAAACCCGAAAAAATGCCAGGCTTTTGGGGTTCTTTGAAGGTGTAGAATTTAGGGAGTAGGGTATCTTAGAGGCTTCAACTACCCGTCGCAACTTGCAGGAGGCACCTGGGCTTATCAAGACCATGTCTCCGAGGCCGGTGGCGACTGAAAGGATCCAAGTGATGGCCTTCTTAAAATCATTGATTTTGCCTTTCGTCCATTCGGACCTGGTCCACGGCTTCTTAGAATCCTCGTGGAAAAGCTCCGCCGCAAGCACGAAAAGACGGTGCCCTTGATTCAGCTGTCCCGGTGTCTGGCAGATGTTCAATGGCATGCCTTCTTCTGGATCGCTTGTGTCCCATGTCTCTTCGATCGAGTTCACATCAGCTGTTAGGAAGCAGAGATGCTCATTGCGGTACTGCTCAGCCTTCTGCAGCAAGGCGGCCTGAAGTTGCGACATCCGGGCCGGGTCAGGCTCGGGCCGGACTTCAGGCGTTTAGGGTTTAGGGTTAGGTCTTGGGGTTCTGTAGAGTTTCGAGGCTTTGGGGTTCTTTGAGGGTGTAGGGTTTAGAGCTTATATAGGGTAGCTTAGAGTCTTAGAGGCTTCAGGTGTTTAAAAGATTAGGGTTTATAGGGGTTTCAGAGCTTGGGGCTCTGTAGAGTTTCGAGGGCTTAGGGCTCAAAGGGTTGAGGCTTTCAGGCTTGGGATTCTCCGGGGCTCAGGAGCACAAGGCTGTTCATACAGCTCGATCAGGCTTAGGGTTTAAGGTTCAGGGTTTGGGGTTTAGGGTTTCGTACGACTGCAGCCATCAAGCATATGGGTAGTTCTCTAAATTAGCATTCCGTTCGGGTTCCTTTTACAAAGGGGTGCCATACTATCTTGGTTGGGGACCTAGGCAGGGACCCTGATTTAGAAAACGACGCATATCCAGCCCCCTTAGGCTCCTGAAAACTACTTCGGAAGGAGATGCTACTTGGAGGGTCGGGGGACTTAGTAACTGGTTGTTTCAGGGACTTATAAGTACCATAACCCCAATTAGGGTCCCTTTTAGGGTACTTATAAGTCTACTTACTAGCTACTTACTAAGTCCCCCGACCCCCCAAGTAGAAGACGCACACCAGCAACATCGTGGAGAATGACGACCCGACACACCATGAATCCCAAACTCCAATCCCTGAACCATGAACCCTGAACCCAACACCCAAAACCCTAAAGCCCAAACCCTACTTCAAAAAGCGCCAAAACCCAAAACCTCACGCCTCCACCACAAAACTTTCAACTCAACTCCCCTGGCTCCCCTTAGAAGGTCAGCAAAACCTGAGATCCCTATGAAGGAAGCCAGAAACCTCAACTCAAAACACATCAAAAACAGGACCAACACGCACTACCAAAACCAACGACCAAGAGCCTCAAAAATGAACCAACGAAGGAACACCCTAAACCCTAAACGAAACTCCTTCCAGCATGCAGACGGATGGCAGGGAGCGTTGGTGGCCGACAGCTATTGCCGGGCTTACCTTCGAAGTTGGCGTGGGGTAGGCCTTAATGATTAGACGGGGCCTTCATAATTAGAATAGAGTTTTGGGCCCCTGTATACTACACTTAGAATAAGGAGCCCCCAAGATAGTCTTGGTAATTATTTAGGCCCCTATATTATGAGTTTAGGGTTTAGGATTGTATGCCGTTCACTAGGGCTGATGGTGGTTTCAGTGTTTTGGGGGCTTCTTGTCGTATTTAGGGTTCAGGTCGTACAGTAGGGTGTTTACGAGGCTTGGATGAGCTTAAAAAATTGGGGCTTGGGGTGTAGGTGTTGGGGTGTGGGGTGTATGATTGAGAGTTTGGGCCGTCCTGCTGACGGCTCACCCGAGACGCCGAACTCTTGACTCAGTTTGAAGCACCGTGCCGGTGCGTAAACCCAACCATCCTTCACCCAACCAGGCGAAACCGGCGGCTTGATGAATAAGTAGATCATATGCAAGGTAGATACTTGGGGGGTCGGGGGACTTAGTAAGTAGTTAGTAAGTAGACTTATAAGTACCCTAAAAAGGACCCTAATTGGAGTTATGGTACTTATAAGTCCCTAAAATAACCAGTTACTAAGTCCCCCGACCCTCCAAGTATATGGGTACGGTGCACTAATGCTGACTAAGACAGCTGGTTCTTCAAGTAGGCTTCAGGTCTGGTCTGAGGCCCCCAGCCCTAAACCCTCCAAATCCACACCAACGAGTTCTACAGGGCTTCAGGGCCGGTCAAACGGTGTCACTATGACTATTCATCACAAATCTGCGGCTTCTGGCCTTATGCTTTGGGTTTGGGGTTTAGGCCTCCGGTTGTCGGGCCCACTACACCTACATCCAAGGCCCGTAAACCCTAAACCTCAAAAAACACTCTGATAACGCATCAAAACACGCCTGAAAACCCCCTTAGCACCCTTGTAAGATCCTACCCCACAAAACTCTGCAGCTCTAAAGCCCTTTGCGGTGTGCATCCTTATAAGATCTTCTCCGATAGAACCCTGATTCTCTAAACCCCTATGCGGTGTGACCACAACAGCCAAGCAGCCAAGTTCGCAGAGCTTTGCCAGGCTGTTGATCATGTGTGTCATTATACCTTGAACTTGACGGGTTTGGGTTTTGCAGCAGGGTTTAAGTGCTGGTGGTACTTCGTGGTTAGTTAGTGTAGTTTCGGGCTTTTAGGGGTTTGGGCTTGAGATGGCCCGTTTCACGCCTCAAGGTCCTCATGGGCCAAAGTGCGACTCATCCAGGAACACCCTCCTAAACCCTGAACCCTGAAACCTAAACCCTAAACTCCCAAACTGACGTGAGATGACTCTGAGCTCCAAGAGGGCTCTAGAGCCTGACGATGCTAGAGGTTAAATGTAGGGGCCTTAATAATTAGAATAAGGCTCCCATTAAGGGGTCCTTTAAAGAGGGTACTACAAGGGATACCATAAGGGTCCTATAATATAGGGGCCTGAATAATTGGAACAGGGTTTGGGGGCCCACTATGACTGTACGAAAATCGCGATAAGGAACCCCCAAAATAGCATAGGTAATTATTTGGGCGGCTGTATTATATGAAGAAAAACCGAGAATGCACTCCTGAACACCCTACCCCAGCGGTTTAACCGAAGCACTTCTTGATCCTGAGTCGTTACTCTAAAATTCGCGACTGCTCGTGATGTTTTACTCGTACGCTGGCATACTCCTGTTTTTGTGTCCACGCTCTAGTTCATTTGAACGAAAGTTCCCCTAAGCTTGCAAGCACTCAGTTATAAAGCTCCAAGGAGATGTTCATCTGGACTGGATGTCAATACCATCCCCTTCAAAGGTTTCAGTTTAGGGCTGTGGGTTGTAGAGTCTTGCACGGTTGATTTCCTGGAGCTTGCTCTTGCCGAAAGGCCCTAGTACTATGGGAATTGGCCGCCGCTAGTCTAGGCCAAAGCCAGAAACCCTAAACTCCAAAGCCCGCACCACAAACCATAAACTTCAACATCTCAAAGTTATTGACTTGTTAAGCACGAACGGCGACTCAAAAAACACCCCCACTACCCAGCCAACACCTCCGATGCAGGCGCCTTATTGATTTAAATAGGGTTTTGGGGTATAACTAGCGTAGACCTGCTAAGGAACCCTGCAGGATAAAGCTGGTAGAATTTAGGGACTAGGCAGGGACGTGTCTAAATACAGATTGCTAGCGTAGTCTGAACCTCAAGCCCCCAAAAATGGTGAACCCAAGATGCCCACACGGCGGTAAGCGCCGCCAATCACCGAGTTGCAGCCTGCGGCCTGGACTTTTGGCTTGGAAGCATTGACTGAAAAGCGAAGGGGACCACGAATGCATGGTTTCTCCTAGTAGACTTAAGAAGCTCAGGTAAAGCAAAGACTGGGTTCTTGTGCATGAAGTTTAGTTTAAAGTACCCTATCTATAGTAAGGAACATGGTTTCCTTAGTCTGGCAGTTAAAATGAAACTCCTTAGAAAGGACGAAGAAAACGGGACCTATGATCCCTGGATGTAGACCTAAACTGTCTCGGGGAGGGAAGGAAACATCATGCATGCAGTACTTGCTCAAACTGTATGTAGGCACATGGTAGTTTGTATGTTGGTTTGTATGTACGCATGTATGTACGGTTGTATGTATGTATGTATGTATGTATATATATGTATGTACGTAACAACTGATACTGTAAGCTCTTGTGCCCAAACTCTGGGTACCTACACTTTTCGTCAAGTGGCCAAAGTGTCCTCTGCCCCGTAAGCGCGGCAGTCCTGTCAGAGTCATTCAGAGTCAACACAGTAAACTGAGCTTGCACGGAGCTCATTACGACGTAGGGGTGGAAGTAATGAGAGTAGGAGATTGGTGTATAACACGAACTTATGTTGGCCATAATAGTATGAGTGTTGTTACTGGTGATTCCGACTCCATATTACTCTAAACTGTTGCCAGGCAGAATCCGGCAACTTCCATCACTGGAATGCACAGTAGTAGTTTGCAAAGTTTTGGCTAGTTAAGGTGAAGCCGGATACTGCCCATAAGCAGATATATTGTCCGGATGCTTTGCTTTCTTAGTGATGCCTGAACAGAATCTGAACAGAGCAGGGTCAAGAATCATAGTGGCAATGCTGACCCAAAAAAACAACACTACAATCCTCCAACGCCCAAGTGCTGTTGCGACAAGGATACTTACTACCCACAGCACAACTAGACCTAAGAGTAAGCTAGGAATAAAAAGGGTGCCCTTTTTGGTTTAAATGGGGCTATAAGTGAACCTAGACCCTAAACAAGAAGGAATAAGCGCGTACTCTGGGTCCTAGACAAACAGAACCGCAATCCTGCTCATCTCACCGCTGTCAACAAATCGGTTAGCAAAAGTAATACGAGCAGCATGAGTTAGGTACGGCCCCCATACAGTAAGAGTCTATAATAGGGATACTATCAAGGTCCTACTATATCTGTATTATGAATATTAGTCAACTATTACTGAGTGGGGGCCGTACCCAAAGTATGAGCGTTGTTGTTGCTGTCATCGTGAGCAGTCCTTACTCCTGGTTCTGTCACGACGATGAGACCTACTACGCCCCAAGCCCTTGAACCATAAACCCCGAAACACCCCTAAACCTTAAATCCTACCTATAGTCTCCATTGTAGTTCCTTTTTTGGTTTGCCCAATTCTATATTAAGGATCCTAACAGTTAACCCAAAAAAGGAACTACAATGGAGACTATAGGTAAACCCCTAAACCCCCTCAGCCCTTCGAATTTGCGACTGTGTCCATGAGACTCGGTCCACGTCTGGCAAAAATTAAAACCGTCGTGAAAACGCCTTAAACCCGCCGAACTTTAAACCTAAATGCCCCATGAGTTCTAAACCGAAACCTAAACCCTAAACCCCCTGAGTTGGCAACCCAAGACCTCTGAACTCTCAGAGCCCAGATCTAACACCCTTGCACTCTGTCCGTCGATGCAGCACACGTCGAGGCGGACGTCGAGCCGAAGACCGTCACATTGTGGGAGAAAATCCGATGACTCCTTGGTGGGCACAGGGTTTAGGATTTGGGGTTTAGGGTTCAGGGTGTGTATATACATATATACATATACACACAATAAAGCTATCGTCGTAACTGTGTGCTTATTTGTTTCATGCGTTTTGTGCATAGTAACAACAGTTGACAATACATGGTAGAAGGTGAAACAACTGCGAATGACAGTGAAACACGAGCATCATGTTGACAGGAATCAGAAGTGCAAAGTATTACTGCAATCACAAGCACATCCACAATCGCAGTCATCAGAAATCACACCATACAAACACACACACACACACTATCTACATATCTGTCTGTCTCCTGTCAAACCTGTCTGCAGTTTATCTGAACACAACCCGTCATATTGCATTGGGCCCCAGCAGACCGCTTTCGTTCGTTGTTGTAGGGTTTTGAGTTTAGGGGGTTAGCCGAAAAGGCGAAGTTGTTGGTGCCCGGTTTGTAACTTATGTAGGGGCCTTATGTATAGAATAGGGTTGATGTATCATGGAATAATTATACCGAGGACCTCTACGTAAAAAATAATAGTGATACTGAGGCTCCAATATTATGCCTTCGGGCTTGTGCTTCGAATGCAAGCTAGACCCCTGATCAAAAAGCTCCCTCTGCTTCCGGGGAATATATGCCACTGAGCAGTCTGGGACGCATCTGGTGCCATAGAGCGTGCTTGCGTGGGTTCCGGGCATTGGGCATTCATATCAAGATCCTAAACGTCGCTGTACTTCTGTACCTCACAAAAATCATCGTCGACCCTAGTGCTGTAGAGTTAGGCGACGAATGACCGGCTGGCGAGCAAAGTCATACTTGGGATGTAAGGGCCGGATCCTGAACGTGCAGGTACATGGGCTACCACTCAGCCAGGTCCCCGTAAAATGGATCAGGGTCCACTGGGTCGTTGAGGTATTCGGGCAAGGCTCATGTCTTTTCGCGATCTGAAGAAGCGCAGGGCCACGCCGATGTGGTTGTCACTGAGCAGCAGCGAGTCCTGCGAACGCGAAGTCCCGACCATAGACCCCCACTATCCCTCACTTACAAGTCCGTGTCACCCTAGATCACAAGGCCCGAGGCCTTAATAGCAAGACAGGTAATGGGGCAATGGTTTAGAGAAGCACAAGGACCGGAAGGAATAGTATTGGCAACCAAACCGACCCAAATGTCACTAGGTCTCGATTTAAACAATCCTCAAAATAATTCATGAGTAGGGCTCTATACTTAGATCTTAAAGGGAGACTGACAGCATCCCAAATCGATACCTAGATTAGCTGGAAGCCCCGGGAGCAGTCCAGTCGGACGTTTGCGGTCTGGTCGACGGTGATCCTCAGCTGACATCAGATCAGGATTTGACTTGCGGCTGCCTTACTTGAGGCCCATAGGTCTTTAGGGCTTTAGGGCTTTGGGGCTTTTAGGCGCTGTCGGGCTTTTGAGTTTTAGGGTGTTGGGCGTTGATCTTGAAACTCTACAGCCTATTCCTGCTTCACTGGGCCGAAACCCTACAACCCTGACCCTACTGACTGTCGGCGAGGCACACTCCGGTATGGGCAGACTTCCAAATCGCGAAACCCGAAATCTGTGCGCAGGCGTTGCAGTCCTGCAAGTCAGGGCTTTAAGGTTAGGATTTGGGAGTTTCCGAAAATTAGGGGTACCATATTTGGGGGGTCCTTGTAATAAGCATCATACTATTCAGGGTACCATATTAGGGTCCCATATTTTCGGAAACTCCCATTTAGGGTTTAATGGGATTAGAGTTCCGGATCTGGATCTGAGCTTCAGTCGAGGTGTTCAACATGTCCTGCAGAACGCACCCTAAATCGCGCACACACACAAGCCCTGAACCCGAACCCGAACTCGTCACCTCCTACTTCTCCCTACACCGGAATCCATGCCCTGCTTCCTGATACCCTACTGTAGCACTTAAAATTTCTCTGAATCCTCAGAATAGGGTGTTGGGGTGTATACTACAACGACGATGGAACCCTGCGAAATAAACTTACAAATAAGTCGGTGGCCATTTTTCTCGCCTTCTGCCGGTCCTGTTCACAGCCTCCCAGAATGAACACGCCGGTCACAGTGGCGACCGCCTCGTTCAGATCCTCTGGAGCTAGCCTTGTGGCGGGCTTTAGGCGTTTAGGGCTACGGGGCTTTGGGGTGTTAGGGGGTCTTTAGAGGTTGGCGTTGGAGGGATGTGTGGTTTAATTTACGACTTGAGGTATGGCACGGTTGACGTATTGATGTTACTCCTCGTAATCATGCACTAATGACTCTACTGCTAGGTCTAGGTCTGCTGTCCTTACTATTTGCTGGTCCCCCTCCCCGTTCTCCTCCTCCTCCTCCTCCTCCTCCTCCTCCTCCTACTCTTCCCAATAGCTGGTGCCAGTACTGCTGCTGCTGCTACTACTACTGCTACTACTACTACTACTACTACTACTACTACTACTACTACTACTACTACTACTACTACTACTACTACGAGAAATACCACATTGTTGTAGACTTCAGAATTAAGGGGTCCACCAAACACCAACAGAAAACATACGCTCTCACATATCATGGTTCACGGAACTCTTTTTGGCACGGGCCCTCTTCCACTACTAGATTGGAAATGTTTTTGGAGGGTTCAGGTTCTACGTTCTGGGTTTGGGATTTGGCTGGGCATAGGAGCTGGGGTTTGTCTCTGGGGGTTTGGGCTCCGGTAGCGGGGGGGTTTGGGTTTAGGCTTGCTTTGTTACGACCTCGGGTTTTGGGTGCGATTCTACGGGTCGAAGGTTTGCCTGATGGGTTTAGATTAGAGTGCAGGGTCCATACCATACATATCAGTGGTTTAGGGTTTAGGGTTTAGGGTTTAGGATCATATCAGTGTCAAATATAGGGTCGTTGGCTTGAAGCATGAGTGCATGGTTCATTCTGCCCATCTTGCGGGTGAGTGAATCGGCAAGGATATATTTAATAAACTCTACGCCCGAAACTCCCACTCTACCCAGAGGCCCCAAAGTAGTTCCTTGTTGGGATTACCTCATAAGATTCTAGATATGAACCCCAAAAAGGAACTACTTTGGGGCCTTAGGGTAGACCCTAAACTCCCACTCTAGGGAATCCTGAACTTTAGGGAACCCGGAACTCCAGGGAATCCTGAACTTTGCCCCTGAAATTGGTAACTTCGCCGGCCTCTCTGTGGAAGAGATGCCTTGCTGGCATTTGCGAAGCTGCGGACGGAGAATGAATCCAGTATCCTGAAGCTTCGAGCTTTTGCAAGCTGCTGGAGATCAGGCTCCAGGATTTAGGGTTTAGGATTTAGGGCTTAGGGCTTAGAGTCTAGGGTTAAGGGCTTAGGGTTCAGGGTGTGTAAGGCTTAAGGTTTAGGGCTTAGGATCTTTTGGCGGTAAGTTTAGGGTCTTGGGTCAGGGAGTTTTTGGGGTTCGCTATGGTCCCCTGACTTTCCCTAAGTAAGGATCACCAGCACCCTCCCCCGTTTAAGCACCCCTCTTAAGGATCCTACAAAGGGCGCCAAAAAAGCACACACGCAAAGTAAATCTCCATAGAAACCAATTTGTTGATGAAGCCCAGCAATTAAGGTAAGGATATCCGTGTAAAATGCTTATGCTTATGCTTTTTTGCGGCCCCTAGCTATAATTATGTAAGAACCCCTCAGAAGGGAGCCCGAACTTGCCTTTATGGGAGCTCGCGCCGAAGGTGCAAAGCATTGCCCTGTTGAGCGGTTGAAGGCAGCAGTCACCAAGGCTCCATTCGGCTTCTGTAGAATACTACTGTTGATGATACAAATCTTGCATTACCTTAAGGACCCTAGACTATGGGAATTACGGTATATTCTCTATTATGGGTGATGCAGGATTTATATCATCAACTGTTTAAGGGGTCTCTCGTGGATTTACAGCACTTTCTGAGGGTCTATGGGGCTTCATATGGGTAAAATTGGAACCTTCGTCTTCCATGGGAGTCTGACTCCAACGTTCAAGGTGTAGGCAAAACTCGAAGCATTCAAAACCATGAAACCCTAAACCCCTAAACCCCTAAACCCTTGAAACCCGGATTCCTAAATTCCAAAACAGCCAAGCGATGTTCAGTGGATCCCGCCGCGACATTACCAACGAGCTCCTTGGGGCGAACCTGTGGGCAGTCGGACATCGTCAGAGTTGCCAAAGGCTCTGGACCAGATTTGAAATCTTTTGGGCCCGAAGATCATACTGCGTAAGGCTTGGGGTTGTGTCGAGCTTCAGGTTTGCAGCGGGGCTTAGGAGTTGGACGTTCAGCATTTCAGGTGCTGGTGTAGATCGAGGGCTTGAGGGTTTCTTCTAGTCTAGGCTTTGGGATTCAGGATTTACGGCTTAGGGTTTGGGTTTCGTGGATCGGGATCGGGCTACGTGTCACCAAATTGTACACCCTGACTAACTACTCCTGCACCCCAAGCGCAAAGCCCCAAAAGCTAGTGTGGCCAGCTCTACCTCTACGATGCTCTTATCGCAACCCTGTACAGGAACCCTCAAAAACAACCCTACTCCAAAATGGACAAAAACCTGTCGGGTATCATGGCGAACTGAAGCTTAACCGTTTTGGTTATATATATTCATTATATAGGGACTATACTACCCAAAAAGGTTAAAGGTTACCTACTCTACTACTTAGTTAGGAAGAATCACCATTGTACCGGACCGTGGGGCTCTGAGCTGACGGTTACTAAGCTCGCAAAGACCCATCAACCACAACACCCTAAGGGTCCAGGTACCCAAATAGTATATACCTTTGGCCTTAGAGTAGTCCCGATATAGGTACTTTGGGGCCAAAGTATATACTACTCGGGTACATGGACCCTAAGGGGAATAGACAGTTTACTAAAGCATGTATACAGAAAAAACCATACGCACTCCTGATGAAGGCCTGAGAATGCCAAAAGCGCCATGACACCCAACTCCTAGCCTGAAAACCCTAAACTGCCCTAAACCATACAAACCCTAAAGCCCAATAAACCTCGACAAACCCTGAACCTAATAGACCCTATACGCCGTATGAAAACCCTGTATAAACCCTGGATCCACAAAGCCTTTAACACAAATCCCTTCGGCAATCCTTCCGAGTGCCTCAAGGAAGAAAGCTCCAAATTGGCGAACCCACGCGGTGCTCTCTTCGGGATGCCTGGCCCGGCTCTCTGTTAGGGTTTAGGGTTTAGGGGCGTTCTGGGAGACCAGGATTTCAAACGCACCCCAAGTTTTGCTTGCCAACAAATTTAGTCAATATCCCAAATCGATACGTAGTGAAGTGTTACTAGGAAGTGACGCAGTTTTTGCGTGTGGCTGCGACTCTGAGTTTGGTCGTCTTTCGAGGTCCGCTTGAAGTTCGGCTACTACTAGCGCTGGGGCCTCAAGAGTTCACGTAAGCACAAGTTTGGGGTGTATAATTAATACCCAAGGCTCTATGGACTCATATATTAAGGCTTTTGGGCCCAAAGACCGTACCATAAAAGGCTCTTGGGCTATTTTGAGCCTTAGGGATAGGGTGTAGGCATCCGGTGATGTTGCGGTACTGGAACCTGATGCACCTACTCTGAGGAAGACGACAACTACCACGACGAATACTACTGCGAATAAGCCGCCAGAATCACCAACTATGACGAAAACGGCAGAGCGACCACACGACTAGGTAATCCATACATATCCGTACTATAGCCGTACTAGAACACAAAACTAAGCAGCAGCAACAACAACAACAACAACAACAACAACAACAACAACAACTCTACTCCTAAACTTCATTTAGCCGTAACTGGTAAACAGAGATAGATAACACAAAACTAAGCAACAACAAGACAACGCCAACCTTCATTAAACCTGACTTGGGAAAATGAGGCGAGGAAAAGCAGCCCGACAGTCCACAGCCTCAAAGTCTCGATGCCGATATTCCGGCGGAGGACGATGGAGTCATGCTTACCTGCAGTAGGGTTTAGGGTTTAGGGCTATAGGGTCTAGGGTTCCCAATATAGCCCTAAAAACAGTTCATAAATTAAGATTCCGATATCCCATAATACTCTTTCGAAGCACAGCAATATGGCAGGGAATTCTCACCCAAAAGTTCACTTTGGCGTGCTTTTGGAGTTGATGATGAAGTTAAAAGGCGGCATGGTCCTGTGCGGCTCTAAGCAGCATGAATCTGGCTTTGGACTGGGAGGGTAGTACATGCAGCTTTACCCAGAGGCCTCATAGTAGTTCCTTTTTGGGATTACCTCATAAGATTCTAAATATGAACCCCGAAATGGAACTACTTTGGGACCCTATAGGGTTAGGACCGCTAAATCAGAAAACCAAACTTCCAAACCCCCAAATGCCAAACACAACCGAAAGCCAAGATGCAGGTGTCCCGCAGCCAGACAGCACTCCGATACGTTCGGTGGAATACCTCGGGATGACTTGAAAGGCATATTTCGAGGGGTCCTTTTGGGATTGGGGTTTAGGGATTCACATGTGGGTTTCAGAAGAAAAGGATCCCCATGTAGAGGTTCGATATTTTCAGGCTCATATCAGGGGTCTTATGAAATCGCGCATGTACAGCCCCAAATCACTAATCTGCAACTAAGGTACCGTCCCACTGGTGTTTCGTGTTATAGTGACCCCCAGAAATTCGGAAGATGGATTCAGGAGGATCAGTGCTAGGATTCCCTATACTTTGCTTTAAGGGCATGAGGCCAATGATGTTCCAACTTTCTGGCTTCTACTGTAAAGGGTTTCGATTCTATAGGCTCTCGAAAAGATCAAGGGATTAACGTAAACCCCTGGTCCCTGGTGAATAAAGCATATCACCATCTCCCTACACCCTACACACACGACAAGGCCTGCGCAGCACGGGTTCAGGGTTTACCCGTAGCCCCAAACATCCCCAAACTGTACAAACTAGTAGGGTTTGACCGTTTGTTGATCCTCGACGACGGTTTCTCGGACCCTGAATCAAACCCTTCGCAGCCCGCACTGTGCCGTCCGCGGAGCGTTCCCCTCAAGTTCCAGTACGGAAGCATAGTTGGCCTCCCCGGAGCGGTTCAGTATAGGAGACTTAACTACTGCGGTAGATTCAGTCCATCTGAATATGGGACTACAGAAGGAACAGAGTTGAAAAACAGCGTGCCGGTCTGTATGTTGCGGTTTTGGGGTTTTATCGTCTCGGGTTGTTCAAGGCTTCGCCGCTTCAGGAGCGCGGGTATAATTTAGAGGTTCAGGGCAGTCGCGTGTTGGGTTCAGGCCCTGGGGGCCTGGGGGTTATGGCGTAAGCTTAACCTTATTTCCAAACAGCGCTTCAAGGACACATATAGGGAAATCATAATGAGGAGCCCCAGAAAGGCAGTTTTTACGGAGTTCAGGAAGCTTCTGGGGCTCATGCATTCGGGAATTCGGGGCTAAGAAGACTTAGGGCTTACGACTCTGGTACGGTCTCGGGGCTTCGGGGTTAGTTGCAGTTTGCAGGCACCTAAGCCCACGGACCCTATAGTTCTAAGCTGAAATTCAAAGCCCAATACTGGAAGAGCCCCAAAGCCACCAGTCTTCAAGCCAGCAGGAGAGCCTGAGAACCCTTAAAGAAAGCCAGGTGTTTGAATAGGCTGCTGTGTATTCCCTGCTTTTTACAATGGAATTTATCTCTATCTCTTCGGTTTATCTGGTTCGCACATGCCAGTGGATTAAGTGATATCCGTCCGCATGTGTCGAGGTGGCTCGTGTATGCATGCAGACTGTATATCCATGTGTATGTGGGTTAATATTTCAGTAGGTAGGATCCGAAGACGAAGCCTCAATCGCACCGGACTTCGATCGGCTGAAGACGCAGTTCTCCACCCGCGAGATGTTGCTGTGGCCTGTTTGGCCGGGACAAAACCTCCAGACTGTAGTCTGCATTGTAGTTTCTGTTGGGGGTTACCTTCTAGGATCCTAACTGTAGAGTTGAAACTTAAACAAAAGCAGGAACTTCAATGGAGATTATAGGTCAGTAAGTAAGGGAAGACTGTTACCTAAACAGACCTACCAGCCAGGATATACTCTCCAATCCCAAACCTGCAGCCAAAAACAAAACAGTATCTATGTTTGTTGAAATTAGACCCTTGCAGAAAACCTACACTACCTAAACCCAAACAGAGGGGCTGCTTGGCTTTAGAGACTAGCAGACCCTGAAATTTGGAAAATCCCGATTTTTGTCGGGGACAACGACAACATCCAACTCGAAACTCTGTCCTACATTGAACCCCCAGCAGCCTAGACGAGGCACCCCAACACCCTGAGCCGCAAACCGCCAAACAACACCAAAACCCTTATAGTAGGAATTATTTAAGAAGGTCTACCAGCCTAAACCCTAAACCCTAAACCCTAAACGTACCATGAAAAAGGACAAAGGCTGACCCCCCCGAAACCCAAAAGCCCTGGCAGCCCGAACACCCACACAGTCGTGGAGCCCCTACCAAAGAATCATGCTCAAAGAACAGAAAGCCGAAGAACTGTTGATGATATAAATCCTGCATTGCCCATAATAAGGAATATACCATAATTCCCATAGTCTAGGGTCCTTAAGGTCATGCAGGATTTATATCATCAACCGTATCAGCAAACCGTACAAGATCTCATTGCGCGACAAAACCTTTTTGCACATCCCAGAATCCTTTGGACAAACCTTGATCGTGCGCTAAGCCCTAAATCCTAAAACCCTTGAACCTAAACCCAGAAACAACATCCCTAAACCCCAGAAAAACCACAACCACCAAACCAAATCTTCTCAAGCTAAGGAATCGCCAGGGATAGTTGGAACAAGAACTCTGCTTGTGAGGCTTCACCACCCTAAACCCCTAAACCCTAAACCCCTAAACCCCTAAACCCCTAAACCCTAAACCCTAAACCCTAAACCCCTAAACCCCTAAACCCCTAAACCCCTAAACCCCTAAACCGTGAACCCTAAACCCTAAACCCTAAACCCCTAAACCCCTAAACCCTAAACCCTAAACCCCTAAACCCCTAAACCCCTAAACCCCTAAACCCCTAAACCCCTAAACCGTGAACCCTAAACCCTAAACCCTAAACCCCTAAACCCCTAAACCCCTAAACCCCTAAACCCTAAACCCTAAACCCCTAAACCCCTAAACCCCTAAACCCCTAAACCCAACGGAG